AGTAATTATTTCTGATTTCATTTTTCCCAGATCCTCTTTTGTTGCCAGTTCAGAGAGTCCAGGTGGTTGAGTATCAGAGTGTTCCATATCGTTTCCCTTTGGGGTTGCTGTAGGTGATCCGGAAGTCTGTTTTTGAGGATTGTTTATATGTCTTCTCATTTTCACGGGGGGTGGGGGTGGGGGGTTCTTCTGGCATCCACTTGGCTCACCTTCTGTGCCCTAGGAGCTTGGGATGGCAGCAGGAGGGCTTCCTTCCGGGTGCTGGGACCCGCTGAGCTTCACTGCCCTAGGAGCCTGGAATGGAGGCGGGGAGCTGTAATAAAATTAAGGGAAAAAAAGAACCTTAATATTTACCATAGTTTTCAATCATACCTCAGAAAACATCTGTTGTAGATTAAACAATCAGTTTTGACCCCTTTTCACTCCTCCTTTCCTACTGACCTAGAACATAATGGATCACATCAGTGAAAGGCTATAAAGGAAACTCTTTCTTTTCTAAAAGACACATATTTCTTAGAGCAGTCATGTTTTCCCTAAGGCTGTATTCTTATAATGTTTATGGGACAAGTTACATGGAAGTAATTTTTAGAGATGTTGGAATATGAGGATTTTTTTTTTTGTGGTTCACTATGATTTTAGACATAACCTAGGGGGTCCTTCCTAGCTCACTGGTCTTTGTTTTGGAGGTTAGAGTAAATCTTAGACCCTAAGTTATTGGGCCAAGAGTGAGAGGGTTAGCAGGACAGGATTTAGGGAGCCAACGTCCCAGCATCCCAGTAGCAGCCTAATGGGAAGGCTGGGCAGTCCCTAAAAGTCATGATGATGCAAGAAAAATGAAACAAAATGATGTTTTGTTTGGAAGTTGTAGAAGCAGTAGAAAAGTTTTTCTTCATTTCCCAAACTATTTTAATGATTGGTTGAATACCATGATACCACAAAATATGTTTAGTTTTAAAAGATGTTTGCTTAGAAGGAGACAAAATCATACATCAACTGGGATTTGTAGTGGTCCTTTTGGTGAAATGTTTCCACTTACATTATCTCACTTCCTTCACACAATATAAAGCACATATTCCTAGCTCCCACTTTTCTATGAGGAACACACTTCAGGTAGACACTTGCATGATCATTCAAGCCTAGACCTGAGTCTCCTCATTCTTTGTCCAGGGCTCTTTACATGCTTTCAGGGTTTCCCAAGCTATAGCACCATAGTTGTACCTGAGATGCTTTTGTAGGGACATGTGAACATTAGATATCTCAATGGCTTTATATTTATTTTCATGACTATTAGGAAGAAATATACAATTTAACACCTCAAATCTATGAATTCAAAACAATTACAACAGAGGACAAGTGTAAGTTTCAAAATAAGTGAGTCAATTTAGAAGGAAACATTTACTAACTATAAATAGGGATGGAACTCCAGCCTGACAAAAATCCTGAAGGTGACACACAAATGACTGTTTCATCTGCTTCATGTTTATTGAACACCTGTGGAGCACCGTGCCTTCTGTGCCAGGTGTTTTATATACATTCTGTTTAATCCATACAAAGACCCCATCAACTTGTTATACACAACCCTACCCTTCAGTGTCAGGCACGGTTCTCCTGTTCACTTTCTGTCTGCTGCTAATTATGTTGTCTTCTTTTCTCATTGAGGGGATGAAATACTCCCTGAGCCACATCTCTGCTGAATACACTCAAGTATATTCCATGTTACCTCTGAGCCATTGGTATCCTCCCTATGCAAGGTCAGCCTTTCTAGTGCTGACTCTATTTAATGAATATTCTGCTTCTCAGAGGTGGGTGACAGCATACTGTGATTTAAAATTTTTCCTCTAATTATAAAGCTTAGTTTTATTTCTATACAGCTTGGTTGTTGTTTTGTATAGTTTATTCGTTTTTTCACATTTGCTCTTCAGACTGTTTACGTAGCTCTCGTATTAGCCAATTGGAGACATTGTACATCTTGCCTCCTCAATCAGTCCCCAAATCAAATTCAATGGTCAGGTTCAATGTTGACCTTACGGGGAAATTTGATTTGGCTCCTGACCAATTCTGTTTGCAGTCAGAATCGGGTAAATAATTAAGTTCCTGGACCAAGGTACCATTGTATTTTAAACACTGGCTCTAAAGTATAAGAACACTCTAATGTAAACCACTCCTTATGTATTTGCTACAATATAATTTTTATTGCCTTCTGCCTTAGGACATTGGCTTCAATTTGGCCTAGGACATAGCTTGAGAGCATGGTTACTCTTTAAACTGCTCTTCTGGTAAACCCAAAGGTAGACACGACCATATTTCAGATCTGGACAGGGCTTCTTGGTTGAGTCGAGTATAGATTATGACATTTGTCTTTTTTCCTCTTGGTATTAGCAAATAATTGAATATTTATTGTACACTGTCACTTCCTTCTATTAATTTGATTGAATTCTTCCAAATGACCCATGTGTATAGGTGCCTATTTTTATTATCTCTACTTTACAAAATGATACTGAGTCTCAGAAAAAAACCCTGCTGAATGTCAGCCAGAATGTGCCAGAGATAGTATATGAATCTGGAGAGTCAGGTGGCAGATGTCACCTCTGAACCTCACAGAGGGCCTCTCTCCTGCTTGGCTTGATTTCACGTCCCTAATGAGTAGTTTAGTCATTTCAAATTCACTTTGCACAGCACTGTAAGGGTCCTGAATTGGGATGCAGGAGTCTTGCTTTCCCTTCCTGATTGAAGTTCTTGTTTCTTGCCCTGCTCATGTCTAGCAAGGGGCCGAAGATGTTGGAAAGCAACTGTGATATGGAAGAAGCCACTCAGATGGATAGCAAAGGACTGTGTCATAGAGTAGGCTATGGTTTTAATATTTCTTCAGGGTTCTCTTTTTTAGTTTTATTTCTGCCAAAAAGATGGTATGAACACAAAGGCTCAGGGAGGGATACAAGGGGCGTTTTCTGTTAGATGACTTTAATTCAATTTAGAAGTTGGATTTGAGCCAGTCTTGGACCATCTCCCTTTCATCCAAGCTCTGAGAAGACACAAAGCAAGACAGCAATGGTTGGCCTGGGCTTTCCATTTCTAGCTGATTGTTGTCAATAAATAGCCTTTGGTAATGTCCTGCCAGAGTTTTGCTGTGGTATTATGTGTGTTTGCTCTGTGAGAGAAAGAAACAGCATAATTTTGAGTAGAACTTGCTCACATTCCTCTCCAGATGACAGTGGACATAATGCTTCCTCCTCCCGGTATGTGAAATGTCGTCAGAAGTCAATTTTATGGTTTTAGAGGAAAATGTTTGCTTTAAGGCAAGAGGAACAGGGAATTTTGTGTGCACTGATATACGCATTGTAACCTAACATCAAAGATAATCTTTCCAAATATTTTTTTAGTCACCGGAATATTAAATTGGGGTCCTGGCCAGATAGCTGGCCCTTGTTCCCAATGTAGGAAGGGCTCCGAAAGTTGATCATGGGTAGACTGTAGATAAATGCTTTTACAAAATGAAGCCCATTGATTTTCTTATGGATGATCCTATCTGCTAAATAGGCACCTTAGGAACTTCACATAAGAAAGTTTATTTCTTACTCATACAAATCCAATCAGGAGTAGAAAGGTCCACAACTGATGGAAGTTCTATCATTTTCCTATTTTTTTTAACTAAACTGGATCTTAGTTGAGCACTGACATCATCCAAAAGATTAGGGAGGGAGGGAGGGAGAGAGAGAGAAGATTGGAGGATCACATGGAGGGTTATTTTATGGGCCAGGCCTATACATGACACCTGTGGGTAGAAGTGATATTGGCTGGAATTCACTCACATGACCACACTTTACCTCAAGGGAGATTAGAAACTGTAGTCCAAATGTGTGTCCTAGAAGAGAAATGGACATGATGAACATTTGGCCAGTTGCTGCTGCCAGGCAGTGGTTGGAACATGGCAAAGGTAGTACGGTGGTGATTTGGTTATTTCCTGTAACAGAGAGAGCAAGACATTCCTTAGTTTTGATGTTATTTCTTTCCTTCATTCCAAGCTTGACCTGCTGACCCACCTTTCCTTGGCCATGGGATGGGTAATTCTCTTTTGGCTTCTCTACTTGGATCTTAATTTTCCTGTTTCATTGAGAAGCCTAGTGACACTTTGGAATCTGATACCAGCCTGGCAGGGCCATGGGACACTGATGAAGTAAACAGTCTTCCCATGTCAATCTACAGACTCTCAGCTCTTGTTTTCAATTTCTCAAAGTTTTCTCTATTGCCCTGATAATTGCTTCAGGCTGGACAAGTCTTCCTGCAACTCATGCTGCCTTCCTCTTCCTCTGGTTATGCGACAGAGTCGCCACAGTGTCACACGTCATCCCTTACCCTGGTGCCAGGACAGTGCTGTAGACGAGTGAGTTCGGACAATAGAGATGTGCCACATTCTATGCCAGATTCATGCCCATTTATTATAGCCGGCGGCCGAGGTGGGCTAGTGCCCCGAAAGGTTCCTCAGCAATGGGAAGCAGTTTGATTTCTCCTTTTAACTCATGCTTTCAGTTGGGGAGGGCTCTCGGGAGAGCAACTGAAGCACTTCTTACAGAAGTGGAACCATGGCAGGTTAGTGGGGATACAAGGAAGTTTCACACACACTAGGTGAGCTACAAAACATCCAGAAACTGTAGCAAGTTTACTGCCAAGCAGAATGTGGGGGTTTTGTGTGCTTTGTTCATGTGCACACACTTTGTTCAAGCACAGGTACAAAATGGCATTAAGGCACAAGAGTCGGGTTGGCTATCACAACAGGAGCTGATATGTCACAAGGCAGGATCGGGCACATGGAAACAGAGGTCAGATGGCACTTGCTGACTGCCGGGAGAGCTCATCAATCCAAGCTGTTATTTCAGAACTGGTAACCTGTGTTTTTAAGGGGAGCTTCTAAGCTGGGTACAACGGTGCTCACTTATAGTCTCAGCTACACGTTGGGCAGGATAATTGCTTGAGACCAGCCTGGACAATGCAGCAAGACCCTATCTCAAAAAAATAAAATAAAAGAAGGAGCTTCTACAATAGTATATTCATCGAAACAATGTTCATTATAGATGTTTTTAAATAACACATCTACAGTATTCTTTTTTTTTTTCTTTTGGTACCGGGAATCAAACTTGAGTCCTTGTGCCTGCGCAACAGGTGGCGAAACCGCTGAGCTAAATCCCCGGCCTCAACCTACAGTGTTCTTGATGACAGATAAGCCAGCTACTCTGTTCCTAGAAGCAGCATACAGCCTGGTTTTGCCTGTGATATTGTTAAGTAAAACTGCATATCCTTAACGATGTTCTACATTCCTTCTGTGATAACTACCCTCAATCAAGACATTTATGTGTGGAATGATGAAGAATGTGATGAATAGTTGGCTAAGAAAATTAGGATTTGTGTCTGAGAGGCCTTGTATTATTACAAATATCTCCCATTTGGAATAGTCCACCTAAAAAACCTCAAAGTCCAAGTGCATTTTGTAGCTTAATATTCATATTTTTTTATTACAGCCATGAACATTGAGTATGAAACAAGCTGTCCAAAATGGTTGTTGAATTAATTAATTACCTCTGGGACTAAGTAGTTGCTACTCAGCATCAACAATCCCACAAGCAAGATGTGTTAGAAAGACCATCTCTTAGTCTCTGAGCTTAATAATTTAAAAAATGTGACTAATCAAACACCAGTTGCTTGTTGAATAACATTTTAAAAGCTTAAAACTGTTTCCAATATTTTCATCACAGATGGTCATTTATCCAAAAGAAATGACAAATAAGTATTAAGTTTAAATGTGCTTTTAAAGTATTTTCAGTTAAATGAGTATCCAATGAAGGAATCAGGTAAGGAAATAAAAAAGGAAAAATGCATTTAAATTTAAGGATACTTTTTTTACTACAATAATATTGAAATAATTTCTAGCAACCAAACTATAAAATTAAACAGAATTCATTGAAGAGGTTTGGATGTCTATCATGTTCCAATTCTAGAAATATAGGATTACATAGCCAGGGCTTCCTGCCCTAAATAATCTTGGAATATTTTCAGGGACGAAAAGACTATAATACAGTGGTATTGGTGGGATATTATATTGTATACCTAAAATGCACCAGTAAAATTAATTAAAGAAAAAGAAATGTGAATGGAAATATGAAGCAATTGTTGGTGGCAAGAGGCAGAGAGACAGAGAAAGGCGAGGAAAAAAATACACACAGGATATGTCATTTTAACTGGATTTCTACAGCGATGCTCAGGGGTTTGTGGGAATGCAAGCAAATGAAGAGGGAGGTAGGATGGACAAGGGAAAGGATGAAGTCTGTGGCCCAAGAACAAAGTTGGCCTTTTCTTATGCCAAGAATTTGCTAAACCCCCAAGCTGCTATTAACTGGGTTAAGGTTCACAAGGAAGGGTACTGTAATATTTCTAAATGTAGAAAATATTCACAATTAGTCCTCAGTCACCTGACATTGTCAGAGAATGAAATTTTTCACCCAAATGATTTTTCTCAATACCTGAAACTTTCTAAGTGTCAAGGCTTTATTTTAACTTTTTAAACCTGAAGAAACATTTGACAACTCCAGTTTATCTTAGTAAATGTCATCCATTGTGCTATGCTAAAATGTCTTCAGGGACTATTAAGCATATACAATGATTTGCCTTGAAAAATCAAAGGCCTACTTAAAAAATTGTTTTTGGCTTCTGGATTCCCCCCCTCCATTATTTGTTCTGTATGCTCACTTGCAACAAGTTTTTCTTGCTGCTGTCAGTATGCTAGATTCTAATAGCTCTTCTCATCTAATTTGCTATATTTTCTCAGGTGAAGAATAGAAAATAAGAAAATCAGTCTTGTTCAAATTATAACCAAGAAAGACCTATTGGTTAAAATTGAGGTACTCTCCCAAGAGCTATGAAATACAGGCTTTGTGGCATCTTATTTTGTTCATTGGTTGCTTCTTGGTTGTCTTCTGTCTAGCAAGGCTGCTAAAAAGAAGACCTCCGAAAAACTGAGTTGTTACTGTATTTAAACTAACCCTTGAATCTGTTAGGGGAAATGGCAGATGCTGAAATTGCTGTAAGTTGTTTATCTTTTGATAATCCTTAGAGATTTTAGGAAAGCAAACCATGTAGAAAACAATGTTTCAGAATGTTGATGGGACCTTAGTACTTGAGATTTTATAAATTTTTCCAGCCAAGGAGAACATTCCATCACAAGTCAGGTTAGCAAAGGGGACTATTCATTTGTTTTCCATAGCAGAATGCCGGCCTTTTGGTAGATCATTTTGGAACTTTGGCCGGCGATTCAATATTTATAATTATTACACATTGAAATGGCATTTCAAGAGGCAGCCTGATATATTTGGGGTTATAAAACATACAAACTGATTGAGGTTATTTAGCTTTATGGAGGCAGTACTGTTATCCACATTTTTCCTCTAGAGTAAGAAACTAAGAATTCAAAAAGGACTCACATCACACAAGTAGAATACTGTTGGGCAAGGCTGGAAGCCCAGATGCACTTGACCTCTGAGCTCATGGTCTTAGAAATTTGTATTTTATTCCAGTCCTTGCCACAACGAACTGCTTGCTATTGCCACCTTACCTTGATATTTTTTCTTATCTGCAAAGCAAATGTATTGCATCAGCTTGTTTCTAAGATTTCTTCTCCTCTAGTTACAGTCCTAGATTTTTTTTTAGATTAGTCTTCAGTGTCCAGAAGATGACAAAGTGGCAGATTGGTCTGGATGAATAATCCCAATGAGCATTCTACCAGTGCAGTGGATCACAAAACTAAAACTATACATTTTATGGCTTTGCTTTGCTACCTGAGATTTTCCTTTTTGTTGCTACTCTGCATTCCAGCCTCCTGGTCTTGTCTCTGACAAGTTCCAGACCTTGTAAGAGTAATGTGTGGAAGAACATGGATGAGCAAGTGAAGCTAGTGACTGTGGATCTGTGGAATTCTTTGCAGCTTCCAAATCTGCTTTCTGATAGGCACTTAAGGAGTAATGGAAGTATTTCTTGTTAAATGAAGAACAAGTCAACCTCATTAAGATAATCCTTCACTTTGCTGTAGAAAGGAGAAAGTCATATTTAAAAGCCATTCAGATCCATTGTTTAGGCAGGCAGCCCATAGCTCTGAAGTCCCCTGGAAACTGTTGATTGCTTTGCTATGTCTGTCCAGGTCTGCCAGACACAGCTGTGTGTGCGGTGCACTGCACAATGCCAGTGGCACAATCCACATAGATTACAGTCTGGATGGTGTCTTTGGAGTTGTACAAAGCAGTGACCCTGACAACATTGCAGCTACTATAACAATCACTATTTATTGAGCTATTTATTTTGTGCTAGATACGTGAAATATACTATATTTTTAAAAATTCACAATGACTGTATTAGGTAATATGGGCAATTATACTATTCAAAGGAACAAACTGGGACTTGAAAAGTACTCTGTAACTCACTACTGTGGGAGAGGGACAGGATCTGAAGCCATGTCTTCCTGATCTCATGTCTCATGCTTTTTCTACCATGTTCTATTCTCTCTCTGGAAGAGTTTTTCTGAGCTAGGTCAGTGCAGACTAGAATGAAGAGGGACTGTGGCCTCAGCACCCTGGAAGCTCAATTGAGGTGTTGGCTTCACACATCTCCTGGCTTGATATTACTCAAAAAGAAAGCCAAAGTAATGGGTTTGAGATCTCCTCTCCCACCCTTTCTGTCTTCCCCACTGGCCTCTTCTCTCTGGCACTCTGTGCTCCTATCAGTTGCATTTGGAGGCATTTCTGGCCCCATGGTGCATTTCGCACAACTGGTCCCCTTGGTCATTTCTTTGCCTTAACTTTCGATTATAGGTCACATTTTGACATCTTTGGGGAACTTTTGCAGAAAGAGCAAGAGAGTTAGGGCTAAAGTAGCGAGGAGCATTTTTAACTACCAGAGCTCTACTCAAAGGCCCTTCTGGTTTCGGTCTGTGTGGGGTAAATGCTGAGCAGCAGTGAAATTATAGGGTCTTGTCCTGTCCATAAGTCCTCTATGGGACAAGAAAAAGACCTGGACCCAGGCACCCTTAAGTATGCCCTGTTTTCATTAAAGCAAAGCTATAATATATGTATCTTTGTGTATTAGAAATATGACACATCATGCAGTGGGGACAGGTTAGTTTTTCCTATCATGCAAGATGGTATGCTATGTAAGCAGTAGGGAGAAGAAAAAAAGATAAAACGAGACTGAGGAAAGATACTACCTTCAGGAGCCAGGGGAGGGATCTGAGGCTGGCTAAACGTAGGGGTGCTTGTCTCATAGCATAATACCATGCACTCTAATATGCTGTTCCCGCTCCTTCCTAATGAGACTTATTGTATTGTTTTATTGTATTCCCAGAAAACATGTGACCTAAAAGGAGGTGAGGGGGATTACACAGAAAAGTGCTCATGAGCAATAAGGGGAGACGTTCAAGTCTGGACTTTCTGCTTGATTGCACACTTCTGAAAGAACTCCTCTACCTCTGCCACCGCTTGCCTTTCCTGCTGACAATATTCTCTGGGAATTTTCCTGCATGTCTTACTCCACCCCAGACTGGGTTTGGGATATCTCCTCCCTGCTGGGCTTTAACTTGGCTCATACTGCACTGCTTTGTAATCTTTATGGGTCTCTCTTGTCTCCTCTAACAAAGGACAACTTCAAGGACAAAAGCAAATGTTTTATTCACTGTGCTTTGTTGATGGGACATGCACATACTTAACTGCAGTTTCAGTAGACTCAGCTAGGCCCCAGTGCAGCTCTGACAAAGGTGAGGAGGAGATGGCAGCCACAAGAGGAGCGGTCCTTCTGGATGGTTCCCAGAGGGATAGACGCAGATGTCTCCTGGCATCATTTGTATAAACGAATGAGCAGACAGGTGAAAAACAGCAGGAAGTTCCCATAAATAACCAGAGTAAGGAAATATGGGCTGAACTGTGGTCTGGTACCCCTGGTCCAGTTTCACTTGGGTGGTCTGGCACTCCTCTAGCCCCACAGTGGGAGCACAGCCCCATCCTGCTGGCACCACCAGCTCCAGCCTCAGCTTTCTAGGCCAGACGAGATCATTTTTAGACGACTGGAACATGCTCCCAAATCCAGGGTACTGTGCTCAACAAGTGATCTCTTTAGCCAAGAAAAATTTATAACTATGCAATAAATGTGTTTGGTATATTCCAAGAATAATAACAGTCTCACTGGGGCTAGTAACTTAGACAACTAGCTCATATTTCATGAATCCAAATCTTGCCATTCAACAAATTAGCCAAATACTGACTTTCTCATCCTTCTCTCTTCTCCTGGGTTGGAGACCATATTGTCCATATTCAGGGGACAGAGAAGGAGACACCACACAGGAGAGGGCTTCTAGCTTATGTTGGGTGAGCAGCTTTCCAAGTTCACCTCTGGTCTTTCCCACTGCCTCAGCCTCTGCTCTCAGAGCTCCCACAGTGGATTCACCTGGCAGCTGCTGTGAGTGATGAAATCACAAGTAACACCTAACTTGGGAACTTGAGTTTCTCAACTCCCTCCTGCTGTATGGTTCCTTTTCTGGCTTTTCAGGCCTTTTCTTTACAAGCTCTTACTTCTTCCTGGAGAATCAGGGCTTTGGCTGCTAGAGTAGAAATAAAAATAGATTGATAGGGGAAAGGTAGGAGTTGGGAGTTTAAAGCAAGCAAACAAACCATTAATACCTATGAAATGTTGATTGTGCACAAGACATCCTAATTATTATGGAAGTTCCAAGCTTGTATCAGATACAGTCCTCCTCTCATGGAGCTTATAATCTAGACAGGGAGTTAAGATTCATACTTGCAGAAATCAGTAACTAATACTCTCAGACAGTATATTAGGAATGTATGTTTCCCAAAGGAGGTACAAGTGCCCCTTGTGGACGAGGGGATGAATTTAGTGAGTGCACTGATAGGCATTAAATAACTTTGTTTCACATAAAAAAGATAGTATATTCTCATTTCAGTTTATATTTCAGTTTTTTTGATTATTTATAAAAGGAAGTCCCAGATTGGTACTAAAATATGTAAGCATCTCAAATGTACCTTCTAGTACCTTTTGTGGTTTTTGTTTCTTTCTTGTGGTACTAGTATTGAACCCAGGGCCTTGCACAAGCTAGAAAAGCACTCTATCAGTGAGCTACCTCTCCAGCCCTTTAAAAAATTTTTATTTTGAAAGAAGATCTCACTAAATTGTCCAGCCTGACCTCAAATTTGATATCTTCCTCCATCAGTCTCCAGAGTAACCAGGATTACAGGCATGCACTACCATTCTTGGCTCTCTAATACCTTTTAATCTCAATAAAACAAAAAGAAATAGGACTCTGGTCCGGAGTCCTTTAGATATCAACTGTGTCCAGCTGGAATTTCATAAACTTTTTTGTATTTTTTGTAATAGACTACACCCAATTTTATTGTAAGTGATTTTTTTTTTCGGTTTATGATAGTAATGATATCATTGTTCCCTTACTAACTGTTTTAGTTTGGGGGTAATATAACTAGTTCTCATAGATGGGGCAGTTTAAGCAACAAACAGTTCTCAGTTCTGGAGGTTGGCAGCCTGGCAGCCGGATGAGGACCTTCTTCCTGCTATCTTGTTGCAGTGTCCTCGGAAAAAGAGTGGAAAGAGAATGAATGAGCTGCTCTAGGCCTCTTCTAATCTTGTCATGAGGACTCTCCCCTCATGACTAAATCATGGTCTGAAGCCCCACTTCCTGGTACCAGCTCATTGGATGTTAGGATTTCAACATATAAACGGGGCGGGGGGGGGGAATGTAATATTTAGTGTATAAAACACTAAATAAATTCACTTATGTAAAAAAGGCAATTTAATTCCAAATAGTAAATGAATGATGGTATAGAATATACCATAACAAAAATCATAAGAGTTGTTTAAATGTTTATGAAACTGTATACAAGAGTTGAGTGAATGTATAGATTTGAATTACAAGTGGAAGTTTAAGAAAAGATTGCGTGCTGGTTGTTGAATGGCAAGAGAAGAACTCTAAAGGAAGTGAGCTTTAGGAGGTGAGCAAGTGAGTGGGTGGGGACACAGGAGAAGACATCAGAGCAAAGGTGTGGGGCTGGAGGGGGAGTGGAAGTCTATTGGGCCGAATCCATGACCAGTTCACGCCCAGGACTCACAGTTGGAGGAGAGCCACAGATGGAATCACATGGTGAAAAGATCCGGTGCCTCCTCAGCATTTCATTCGGAGATACTTGTTGATTCACATGTAATTGTAAGAAATTCCAGTTATCCCATATACCCTTCACCCAGTTTCCCCAAACAATGCACAATTTCCCTCAAATGTTGGCATAACTATGTTCAATAGTGTAACCAAAAAAATTATAAGATACTGATCTTGTCAGATTTTATGAGTATTATGTACACTCACTTGTGTACATGTGTATATTTGGTTCTATGTAATTTTATGCCATGTGCAGTATATATTGGTGTGGCCACTGCCAAAATCAAGACACAACACTTCGACCACATGAATCCCTCATCTACCTTTTCATACCACAGTCACTTTCCTTCCTTTTCCATTTTATAACCCATGGCAACTACTAATCTGTTATTTATTTCTATAATTTTATCCATTCAAGAATGTTACATAAGCCTGGCACCATCCCATACTACTGTAAATCACAGCACTCTGAGAAGTTGAGGCAGGAGGATCCCAAGTTCCAACCTAGCCTGGACAACTGAGCAACTCAGTGAGACCCTGGAGCTCCAAATAAAATAATAAAAAAGTAATAAAATATAAAAAAAATACAGGGCATGTTGCTCAGTGCTCAGGTCCTGATTCAATCCTCAGTACTGGAAAAAAAGGATGTTACATAAATGAATCATATATTGTATAACCTTTGAGTATTGGCTCTTTTTTCACTCAACATTAAGTTCTACCCAAGTTGTTGCTTATATCAATAATTTGTTCACTTAAAAAAATTCCTAGTAGTATTCTATGGGATGGATATACCATAGTTTAGGCATTCACCTATTGTAAAAAATTTGAGTAGTCCGATTTTGTTACCATGGATAAAGAAGCTATGAACATCTGTGTGCAGGTTTTTGTGTAATTATCATTTTTAAATTTCTCTGGAATAAAAATTAAAGTGTGTGATTGCTATGTCATATGGTAAGTTTGCCAACTTTGGTTTTATAAGAAAATGCCATACTCCTTTCTGGACTGGCTATATTGTTATACACTACCACCAGCAATTTATGAGTGATCATGCTTCCCTCAATATATGCCAGCATTTGTTGTTTACCCTATTTTTATTTTAGCCACCCTTATAGTGTATAGAGATATCTGATTATGCATTTAATTTGCATTTCTCTGTTGACCAATGATATTTCCATGTGCTTATTCCCGATATTCAGAGTGAAATATCTGTAGATATCTTTTCCTCATGAACTAATTAGATTGTTTATTATTGAGTTTTGAGAGTTCTTTACTTGTTTTAAAGATAACCCCTTTGTTTATACGTGGTTTGCAAATATTTTCTCCAAGTTTATAGTTTGTTTACTTTCTTTTTCACAAAGTCTTTCATAGAGCAAAAGTATTTAATGTTATGGGATCTAGTCTATTAAATTTTCCTTGTGTGGACTGTGCTTTTGATATGAAGTCTAAGAATTCGTCACTTAGCTCTACATTCTGAAGATTTTCTTCTGTTTTTATCTAGATATTTTATAGTTTCACATTTAACTTTTAGGTTCATGATACATTTTGAGTTAATTTTTGTATAAATTCAGAATTTAAGTCAAGAATTCACTTATTTTTGTGTTTTGTTTTGTTTTGCTATTTGTAAACATTCATTTGCTCCAGCACACCATTTGTTGAAATGTCTCTCCTTCCTCCATAGAGTTGCTTTTGCACTTTTATCAAAAATCAGTTGGCTCATTTGCAGGAGTCTTTGGCTTTTGGCAACCACCTTGTTGATATTTCCTATCATTTGACAGCAACATTTGAAAAAGAAAAGGGTTGATGGAATTTTCACCAAATGGACCATGCCATGAATAGAAACTATTATGTGATTTATGAAATAATGTGGTAATTTAGAGTGGTCTCATTACACATTCATAAATCATCCCCTGACCGATGGTTTTTAAGAAAACAGAAGGTTTGGCTCATATCCTACCAAAATATTTCCTTTTACCTAAATAGAAAGATGTGGGAAAGTGCCTATAGTTTTCCCCAGGGCTGATACGTAGTTGCATACATTTGACTTTGGGAAGTTTAAACAGACTCTGTCAGGCTTCCTTTTGCCAGGGCCTTGGAAGAAATATGTGAGCAACAGCTCTGCCTGGAACTTAGAAGCCTGCTCACATACCAAAAAATAATAAGAAAGATCTGAAAAAAACAAAAACAAAAACAAGCTGATCCTTTTTAAGAACACATCACAGCCAAATAATCCCAGTCAAGCGTGAAGTGCTGTGGAACTAGCTTTGCCTCCTTGGATTTTGAAACATGCATCTCTATAAACCTGCCTGTACGGACATCCCCAGCCCTAAACTGGGTCTGGCCAAATCCAGTGAATTGGCTCTAAAATACAGGCGGCACCTAACAGTGATCAAGACTCAACCTCAGGCAATCTGCTGGCCTGTTAGGCCCAGTGAAACTGGAGAACGGAAATATCTGGAGAAGTTTTTACGTGTCCATGGGATCTCGTTGCAGGAAACCACCAAGGCACAGACGGGTATGGCATACAGGTACAGTTGATCACAATAGCATCCAACTGGCGGTATTGCACTGAAGTCAGATGTTGTTGCCATTAAAGAAATAAGGTTTGAAATAGGAAAAAATGTTATAAGGAGAAGAAAATAAACACAGTGAGCCCTCTTAGATTCTTTTTCTTTTGAGCTTTAAATTATCTTTTTCTTTGCTCAAAGGGTTACACAAAAGATGACCAAGCCCTGCTGTTGAAAGTCCTAACCATGTGCTGCCAGTAGAAATATCTTTGGCTCTGAGTAGATAGGTGATTTAGCAGGTAAAAATAAGAAAGGGGGCCTCATTCTTCTCAAGAATCTGTAAGTTGTGTAGAACTTTTTTCTGATGCTGCCTGGGATATAAGACTGCTAGTTTCTTCTAAGCCTGAATCTGTGCTAATGGCTAATAAAGTAGTTCAAGTTCTTCTTGAAAGGACAGTACTTTTTATCAATGCAGCCCAAGATAAATTACTGGTTTGTTTTGCTAACTTTATAGTACCATTATTTATTCTGGGAAAGATTAACAAAAGGAAGAGATTTTCTTTCCTAGTATGGAGTTGGGTGTGTAATCTTTATAGGTTGCTCTGAGATGAGAAGTATTCTTTTTCAGAGCAGTGACTGTCCCAGCATTCTGTAAGATATGCCTACACTTAGCTAAATCACTCAGTAGCATCTGCACAAGAACTTCCTTCATGCACAGTTGGAATTTTAAACGCCCTGGAAGCTTAGCAAAAGCCATTTAGAAGAACAAGGAAACTGAAAATACAAAAAAGTAGTTTAGCATTAGGATGGTTGTCCTAGCTAAAGTCAAAAGTTCTCCTTCACAGGATAAGATTGTTTTTCATGTACAAGATGCTCCTAATGACATTTTTTCATAATCTAGGGTCTATTTCAGTATAGTAGCTACTGCTCTAATTTATGAGCTAATTTTATTAATAAAGCAATTTTCAATGATAAGACTTCTCTCTAGAGACCAAAATACTTTACACAGACTCTTTATGTAAAAAAGGGCTTGTACAGACGAGGAATGAGCTCTTGTAGATTCATAGGGAGCCCAAGACTGCCTACCAGCTCATACTTCAGAAGCAGAGTCAAAGAAGAATCAGACTCCCCTTCCAAGAACACTTGGGCTTTACACACTGGGATAGAGGAGATGTGCTGCTCCCTTGGCTAACTCTGTTGACTACGGGCAGTAGCCTTCTTCTTCCTCAACCGCTTCACGTTCCCTTATTCTCTTCTCCATGCTCTCGCTGGCCCTCAGTGTGGTCATAATGGTGGTGTGTGAACTCGGATCAGGTGAGTGGGGAAATGCACTGCTTTATTAAAGAACAAAACAAAGTAAAAACTCCATATCTTCACAGATAGGTGGTACTGCCATGAACAATTGCATATCGCTCTCCTCTCAAATGCCCTAGTTCAAATATCACTTTCACATCTTGTACTGGGTGTCAGTGGTCAGATATAAATACAGTCCAGAAGGGTACTTTTTAAAGGATCATGGAGCACAGAAAAACTTTCTTCGAACAAATGAAAGCAAAGCTGCTACAGTTGGAAGTTCGGCCTGGAGCCCATCTACTTGTGGGGTAGGGGGCAGACAGCCTCCACCCTGTGCTGAGGTGCATCTGTGGTTTGCCTACACCCCACGGTTTGGGAGCAGGCATAGGTCTGGGGCATCTCTTCATAACGTCTCGATGAGAAGACTCTGAGCTGGGGATGCCAGGACCTGCTCAGGGGCAAGGTCATGGGGAAACATAGGTACTGCTAGATCGCACTCTAGTAAGAAGTGGGACCTAGGAAAAAGTTATTCCTAAAGCAGCGACTTAAGAGAGAAAAGTTAAATTGATCGCTCATCCCAAAAATAGCCAAGGCTTTGAATAACAGTGCAATGAACTTGCTGTACTCTTACACTTGTTCCTGATAATATTCCCTTATTTCTCCTCCCCAAATGTCCACAGCACTTTATTTATTCTTTGAAGACACCTATTAACTGCCCTTGTTTAAGACATTTTTCTTTAGGAATTTGGGAGAGATTCTTAGAAAAGAAGACCAGGGCTCTTTTTGTTCCTCCTCAGCTTGGCTTTTGACCTGATTTCTTAGGAACATAGCTGGGAGAAGGTGACTTTCAGATTCTCCTTTATCCTGATTTTTCCCTCAGGAAAAAGATTGTGGGGGAGGGGACCGTGGCTATATTAAAGGACCTCCGTTCAACCTTGTCTTTTCTATTTCTTCTTTTTGAAGGATATATGTAGTGGAAAGAGAATGAACTTTGGAGTTAAGCAGACCAGAGTTTAAATCTCAGCTGTGCTGGTGTGACAGATAACACTTAGCACACAGTAGGCACTCACTAAATGTACGTTATCTTCCCATTTGTTCTATAGCATTTGTCTACCCATATAAAGGTGGGGGGAGATGAAAGTCCCTTACCTGAAACATATAAATTGATGAGATTATTCTAGGAAGAAAAATAAAAAATAGAACAACCCACTGTAACTCACAATCTGTGTAGGTTTCCGTGCTAAGCTTCTGAATTCTGAGGTCTGGAAGAGCGGGTAAGCTGTTTTCTCTTCCTAATTTGGTCAAATGCCATTGCAGCCCAATACCAGCTGCTTTGGTCCCTTGATTTTCTGTGAGAGAGCATTATGTTGTGTTTCTATGGAGACTTGGTTTTATTTCTAACTAAAGTTGACTGGGAGAGGAAAAGAAATCAGCAAATATGCAAACACATGTATCAGCTGAAAAGAAACCAGAGGAAAATGTTTGAGAATGGTGTAAAATGTGCCAGCTTAGTGA